CAGCGGACCCAAATATAATTGCACGACTGCACCTGCAAGTGACTGCAACCAAAACGCCTGAGTCACTGCGATCAAACCTCAAATAGCTTGTTTGAATTGACGGCTGCAGTAGAATGTGGTGCGACCACAAAACAATATCCAAAGGTCGTGATTCCACCACCGAATTACTTTCTCTCAAAGCCGACCGGTGGATGCCATCTTCCCATTGTCGTAACTTTATTAAGCATGACACCCGATTAGCTGGGCTCGCTCGGCGCCGCTCAGGTCGAGCCAGCCGTGTCGTGCTGCGGACGCGGCAACAGCACGAGCGTGACCTATCATGCGGCCTTCAGGCGCCACCCTGTCCCCCATTCTGCCGCCTCCGTCTCCTGGAAAAGCCGTACCTGGAACCGCCCTCGGCCGCCTCGCCGCGCTGAGGTCGGCCGGTGCTGTCGTCAGGCGGCATGGGGCGCCTTCAGGGCTGCTGCAGCTGACCCGGCCCGGCTGACACTCCAGCGGACGCCGCCGCGCCGGACCGCTTTCAACACCGCGGCTCCCGTCCACCGCGCTTTGACCAATTACCGCTGCAGGACCGGCCGGTCTGCGAGCCAAGACACGCGCCTGCGGCTGCCACGGCCGGGTGCCAATGGACGCCACGGACAGGGCCTCGGCTCGTGCTGCCTAGAACAGTGGAGTGAAGCCAGCTCGCAGTTGTATGCATAATTTTCATCACGGCTGGTGCAGACTCGCAGCCTAATCAAATACCTTCACACGAGAGAGGTCCAGTTACTTTGAAACAACGGGCCGTCCAGCCGCCATCCGTCTTAATGAAGCCCAGCCCAATGCTAGCGGAGCTGAGTCAATCCATCACATGCCGTTCAGACCCTTCCCTTTTCCTGCCCTTTCGAAACCGTCCAGCACATACCGAGTAGTCCGGCGTGGATCAACGCGCTTGAGCAACTAGCGAGACATGGAGTCATGGCCTCTGAATGATAAACAGGGATGTTTCCAATGCAAAGGTCGCGTCCCCAACTGAAGAACGGTGTCCAGCTGTTTTCATCTGTCCATCACGAGACTCTGGAGAAGATCGCAGTGAAAAAATCGCAGTTTTCGCACCTTCTCGAGTTTTTCTCGCACCCATCTTTGCTGAGATCAAACAGCTGTTTCCGTTATCAAACAGTTGTTCCCATTATCTCCAGACGGTGCGCTAAAGAGCGCAGCGATGAGTCCAGCGCGTTCACGCTTGGAGTACATCGAGGTGGAGTTTGAACCGTTTCTGGTTATCAGGCGTGGGCGGACTAAATTTACACGATCCAACTCTTTGTGGCTCAGTAAACTTGTGCCACCGCTGGCGAAATCTTGAGCCCTGATTGATCAAAGCTGGCACGATTGAGATTCTTTGGGTGATAAGGTCATTGTCCGACTGACTTGAACTTCCGCCATTCAAGAACAAATGGCCGTGATAGTACAATCGCCTCAGTTGCGCCGCAAAGTATTCCCCAAAAGTTTAAAATATCACTGGAAGAAAACCCTGACCTGGACCTGGCCGACTGGTGATGAGCGTGGATGAAAGTTTGGCAGAAGCTCTACTACAACGAGAATATTTACTATATGGTGCTATTCTCGCCGGGATATATGCACACACACACATGCACACACACACACCACACCCACACACACGTGCACACACACACCACACACCACACACGTGCACACACACACAACCACACCACACACACACACACACCAACCACACACACCACACACACACACCACACCCACACCACACACACACCCACACACCACACACACACACCACCACACACCCCACACCCACACCACCCCACACCCCACCCCACCCACACCCCACCCACACACCCACACCCACCACCCCCCCCCACACATATATATATATATATATATATATATATATATATATATATATATATATATATATATATATATATATATATGTATACAAAATATTGATGGATATGCAGACGCATATAAAACGAAAATATGCGTGCATTTCCATATATTTCGAAATCGAGCCTTCCTCGCGATGTTCGTGCTTCCTGCCAGGGTTAGAGGCAGGCGACGCTACATAGCATCAGCAGCTGAGTGTGTCGCGAAGTCCTCATGACCCACAGAAGTCGAACCCCTGCATCATCTTACACCACCGTCACAGCTACAATACTGAGGCGATCGAGCGAGCGGGTTCTGGCTGCTAGGTAATCTCAGAGCGGGTGCAGAGGTGGTGTGAGGCTAAGTGATAACTAACCACCTCGGTGACCTCCGCCGGGACCGGCTGCAGGGCAGGCGCCTCGCGCCGGGGGCGGGGGTCAAACAGTACAGCCGCTACCTTGATGAGACCAGCCGGCGGGAAACAAACGACACACCGGGTCTGGATAACGGTGAAAAAACGATCCGATGGCAATCCATCACGGAAAGATTGGCGGGCTGCGGCTCCAGGCACTGGAAGACCCGCCGTCCGTGCCGACGACCATGGCCGCCCCGGCTGGAGCCAGTGGGCTTCCAGCATTGGTTGTCACGTGCCTGAAGAGTGGATACGATATGAGCGTGCGATGCTATTCGGGTCGGTTAACGGCTGTTGAGGCGCGCATCCATGCTGGCTAATTGTGATTAAATTAGTCTGTTAGGTTTACATGCTGGGATAATGGACTTCAAAAGGTCACACCAAGGGTCAGACGTGTTTAGGTTCATCCTAAATTAATCATCGTTCTGGTAGATGACTGGGATAAAAAGGCACCACCCGGCTGGTATTAGGTGCACGATAAGCCGCGTCCAGCGAGCTCCTATAGCAGGGGAAGCGCGTAAAAAGCATCCAACTGCAGCCGCAGATTTACCGCCTTGGAAACCCATTCATTTCAACCAACAGCTCACAGGGGAGTTTTCCTTTGTGGAATCGAAAAACCAGCCCATAAACACAGCAATGTGTTTAAACACATTGTCGGTGAACGTTCATCGGTACTCTGAGCATTCACTCCGTACTTCCAATGGTAACGTTTGTGTGTTTTTAAAGAGTTAAAGATGCTGTAACTTCTGAACGTGTAAATGCGTTTGTCATGGAGCATACCCGCCCAAAGTCGTGTTGATGTATTTTCAGAATTTGTCGAGCATTTTACAAGGCGGGTTTGGCATCGACCAGTGGAAGAGCAAACGTTGTTTCGAAAACTGAGACTCTCTGTCATCAGTGTTGCAATTCCAATTCAACAGATGATGTTGGCCACCATATTTTAACATGCCATGCAGCCTCATCACAAACCGCCACTTGCTAGTCTGGCTCCTTTGCTACTTGACCGGCAGCGACAAGTCACAAAGTCATATTTCTTAAACGTGAAACTCTATATTTGTCATACAGTGACAAGTTTCCCGACGATCCATCAATCACACGCTGTGAGGTGAATCACTTTGGTGCATGATTTCATGCTTGTTATTCTATTAAAGACAAAACCCATGCCATTCCAAAAAAGGCTTATTTACCAACTGGCGCTGTCAAGAAGCTGCCAATGTCAAAATCCTTGAATTCGTCGCTGTAGCCAGTTTCTACGACGTGATACATTACGTAGTTCGCTATAAGTCTCGTCTCATATACACATCTGATGTTTACAAATGATACGGAGACAATTCAGCCGAATGCTACCTGAACTTGGCCACCGATTCAAAGTGTGAATATAATAAATAAAATTCGGAACGAATTAGCAAAGATCTGTCGGCTCTGCTCCTAATTTCAATCAAATTAAAGAAATAACATAATCAGTCGTGCTTGTCGAGACTCAACCTTGATATCAATCACTGTGCTTTTAAAAACGGCCTAGGGCAGCTGCTCGCAGATGGGGCGAGCTGGACCCCGCCCACGTGCCGGCGAGCTCCTGCGAGGTGAAGTATTCGGCCAGCCGCTCGTCATCTCCACTTCACTCCAGCTCAGTCATCTCCGGCTGGAGTCCATTCACCCGTCTCATCAGCGCTCATCGCTGAGATTCCAGCGGTAATTACGCAACATAAACAGCCGGGGCCCTTTGAGCGAGACGCGGCCGCTCGGTGAGCACCTTTTGTCCGCGGCGAATACCTCGGCCGTGGCCCGGCTCGGCAGCTGCTCTAATGACAACGCCGGGTCAGCTCAGCCGCCACTCACGGACAGCTCCATCTGGTGATCGATTGCAGCAGTCCACGGACGGCCTCGGCGGCGGCCAGAGGCGCACCGTGCGCGCCTGGCCGCAGGGACTGGCATCGCCAAGAGGCAGCGACTTTTCGAGACCGCGACAGGTCGTGTCTTCATTCTGCGGGAGCCGGAGGGAGAGCCAACAACGCACGATCTTCTGGCTGTCCATGGACTGGGAAAATCGGGCCTGCTTGAACAGAACTGGACATTTGTTATTAGCCGACGTTTTACTTTAACGCCGGATGATTAATCTCAATGCGTGCCTGGTCGTGATTATGCATGGCTGATTGAAATTATTTTGTGATCTTGTTTTGATATGAATGATTGATGATACGGCTGATGATTGCTAAACTGATGATCTTTCCACGTATGAGGTATTTAAATTCCCGTATATATGGCTTTGAATCATATATTTGGGGTATTTCTGATGCCTCTTGTTCGCTTTCCTATCCTCTCTCTCTCCTTCCTCTCCCTCTCTCTCTCTCTCTCCTCTCTCTCTCTCTCTCTCTCTCTCTTCCTTCTCTCTTCTCTCTCCTCCTCTCTCTCCTCTCTCTCTCCTCTCTCTCTCTCTCCTCCATCTCTCTCTCTCTCTCTCTCTCTCTCCTCTCCTCTCTCTCTCTCCTCTCTCGGCTCTCTCTCTCTCTCCTCCGCTCTCCTCTCTCTCTCTCTCTCTTCCTCTCTCTCTCTCTCTATCTATTCTATCTGTCACTCTGTCTCTCTTTATCCCCCTCTCTCCTTCTCTTTCCCTCTTTTATCTCTTCTACTCTTCTCTCTTATCCTCTTTATCTCTCTCATCTCTCTCTTTTATGGCCACATCTTCTCCCTTTCTCCGCCACCCTTCTTCCTCCGGTCTCTTCCCCAGCCGGTTGTTTTCCATTTATCTCTCCATCTACTGCGCCGCTCTATTCATCCGTGGCCTTCTCCAGCTCACCGGCGTCCCGATCTGTCTCCCCAGAGCGGTGTCGTTTGGCCGACACAAAGGGGTCGACCCGGCACGAGGCCGCCAGTCCCAGCTGACCAATCACGTACAATGCCCGCAGGCTCGTAAAGCGAACGTAAAGCAGGGCTTCGTCGACGCCGTGGTCTGTGCTGTAATTGCGCACGGGTGGCCGTTCGGCGCTGGTGCGGGAAGGGATTTGGGGTTGAGAACGTGACTATGGTGGGGGAATTGGTGGAATTCTGTTGAGTGCTTTGTTGTTCACCTCGGCCGTTCCAACATGTTAAGTCCTACCTCACGCGGTCCAGCCATGTGAATCCTCGAAATCTACATAATATTAAAAACATTCGTTTTGCAGGGGATACAGGCAAAGCGCGGAAGCCCTGCAAACAAGTCAGAATGATTTGGTTTGATTTCAATGAAATCTTTAGCGCTCATTCGCCGCGCATTCATTCGGATTTGCTGCAAGATATTTTTTGTTGTGTGTGCATAACAAAGCCATCCGCCAAGACCAAACAGCCCGACGTAACACACGCTCACAAAACTGTCTTCATTTGTCATTTTAATCTTGTTTTTGTCGCGCTATCAGGGCGAGATCAACTGTCTCTGGGGCCAGGTCGTGTTTCCCACTGTTCGCCATCAGTTTTTCGGCCCGCCAGGTGACCGGAATGACATTCCTTCAGGAGGGTCCCTGTCATTACTCAGGCGGCGGGTCTCCGGTACGAGCCCCGCTCACACCTCCGATCGCCAGATAGGCCGGGGTCCTGCAGGGAAGGACTGCCTGAGGCCGGCCGCTCACTGGCGCTGCGGTGCGAAACCCGGCGCAGCGACAATGGCTCGAGCTCACTGCACTCGGGCAGAATTCTCCTGCTTTTTCAACGCTGCCTCCGCGAGGGGAAGGCTACTGCGTCGGCAAAAAACGGTGCCACTCGGAGGCCGGCGAGCGGTCGCAGGTTTTTCTCGGCCTGGGCTGCGCCGTTCTGCCACAGTTTAATCGCGAACCGAGCGGCCCGGGAAAATCAATTAGCGCCCGACAGCGCGGCCGCATGTGCCGACGTGATGAGGGACCTGATGAGGGACCTGATGAGGGACCTGCCGCGCCGCCGGCCGCGCCTCGCCAGCCCCGCCGTCCGTCACCGTCCCACAGCTCCGGCAGATAATCTCGGCGAGGCGCCCGGGGGGCGGCCACGCTGACAAACGATTCCCGGCGGCTGTGAAGTGCGGAACAGAGACGAGGACAGGTCGGGCTCCGCTGGGAACTACACTGTCCGGCGCGGTCTCGGTTTTTGTCCGGTTTTTGTCCGTTGTGCGGCGGCGGTCGCCCTTTGGCGCTCAACAACATCGCACGAGGCATCTTGGCCCCATCTTGCTCAGAGTCTGTCTCAAGTTGGTGCCACCAACACTGGAATGGGGCAACAGTGTGTTTTGGGAGGCGGGGGATGCAGTGGTGTCTGGGCATTTCATGCGACGCACTGTCATAAACGGTCGTCGTAGAAATGATGCGGGCTGCTTCACCGAGCTAAGCTACAACACCGAACACGCCAAACCTCGTGCACTATTCGTCTGATGGCGGGTATCTGGGCAGCAGCGCTGCGCGCGCCAAAACCATTTCCGGCCGGCATCGACCAAACCCGGAGACAGTGCTGCAAGGACATCGGATCTGCAGCAAAGGATAGCGGCGCCGACTCCTTGACCGGCGTCCCGCCGCCCACGGCCGGCCGGGACCCGGGCAAGTGGCCTCGCCGGACGCCGGCACGGCTCGGAGCGGAGCGTGCCCGCGTGCCTGACGCGCCACCGGCAGTGCGGCGTCGCACGTGCTTCGTCCAATGGTCATTACCGCCCGTGCGCCGCGTCGAAATTGCCCGCGGGCATCCGCCGCCTGGGGCGTGATACTAAGATGCGCCTCGCGCCTTTTGACCTTTAAATCCGTGTCCTGCAGACTTCCGCCATACAGGGTGGTGCTGTGCTGACCCCTGACCTTCACCGAAATTCTGAGGGAGAGCTGCAACCCCTGGCGGGATCACAAAACTTCCTGGTTACGGGTCCAAATAGCTCCAGTGGGAATTGCAGGTAGCTGAACTCCGACTGTATCACCCTTCGCACGGCGTCTGAATTCGGTCTCGTATTTATGTATTCATGGATTCTTTGTAGTACGCACTGCAGCTGCAGCGAAACTGATCTAGCACAGCACATTTGCCGACAGGACGTATGGGGCCGGTGTTAATAATTCCGCGGCTATGCTCGCGACGACCCCCCCCCCCCCCCCCCCCTCCATCGATTCTGCGTTCTGCCAAGCCGTGTCAGTGTACCTCAGCTGAGTGCGGTTGGGCTCAGTTTCAGAGAGCGTGAACATCACGGAGCTGCGTGTGCCTGAAGTGGTGGAACACAACACCAACTCGACGGCCATCCTCGACTGCGTGTACGACCTGCCGACGACGGCGTCAACCTGCTGCTCGTTAAGTGGTACCTTCGGCGACGAGAACCATTCAGGTTGTACCAGTGGGGGCCTGGGCCTGGAGCCGGCTGGGTCTGGCGTGCTCAAGGGCAGGCTGCACCTAGGTCACGTGGCGTCGCCCGAACTGCTGAAGAAGCACCGCGCGCTCAGCGTCTCCAACCCCACCGTCGACCTCAGCGGCACCTACATCTGCAGGGTCATGACCAACTCGGGCGTCGTCACCGAGGCCAAGAAGATGATCGGTTACGGTGAGTAGCTGCCAAGCGCCGGCCACGCGGGATCAGTGCACGGCTTGGGAGTCCCTCGGGAGACGCGGGTGTCAGGGGTGCACCCTTTGTCCGCCTGCCTCCGAAATTCCACAGGATTCGCTGGGGTACCGGGTCCGAGACGTGATAAGGCAGCGGCGTGGGCTCTCCCTCACGGGCGCCGAGCAGGTGGCAGCGATAACAATGATTCATTACGGCGCGCGCGGCCATGATTCATCATTTGCGGAGGGCGGCGGCGACTTAGGAGGCTGGTGGCGAGCACGTCTTCCAGCAGTGCTGTCTGTCGGCCGGCTCGCTCTGGTAGTCGGCGGGGGACTCGGCCACTCGGCACGGGGCAGAATCAGCGAGTCGGACGCCCCTTCCACGAACGCGAGTCGTCGGCGTTCGCGGCAGTGCGGTCGTCGGACACCCGGGTTTAATAATAGCGGGCCACACGGCGCCCAACAAGCGGGCCGCCCGAGGACGAGCACCCCTGCCAAGAGGGCAGCGCTGCCAACTCGGGTGAGGGCGCTGGGTACAGCTGGGGCTCGCGGTCGGTGAGGTCAGCGGCCAGGCAGCGCCTCGCAGACCTCCGGGGAAGGGTTCTGCGTAACTGGGTCATCATTTCGAGCGCGAGTTTGAGAAGTTTGGTCCCGTACAGGCTTTTCATTACTGAGATGTCATGATGTGACCGGTAGACGTCGCAGGAGTTCGATTGTCCCGGCCGAGAATCCCCGGAGGTGTAGCGGTTCATCTGAGGGTCCTTGTTGAAGCGCCAAGGAGTTAGCTCGAAGGCTGTGCTTACCTGAAACGCTCCGCCTATCGGTCGCGTCTCGTAACTTTTGCCTTAATACCAGAGGCGGGAAGACAACTCACCGACGGACTTCCTGACTGACCTTGGAGGAGATGGTAGCTCAAAATCGGTTTGTGATGCTCTCTAGAGAGGATTCATGTTTGTTATTTCCTGTCCACTGCTGGAAAACGTAAACTTCTCGACTGTGTTTTTAGACCGCCAGGCTTTCCCGCTACTCCGCTGAGGTGGCCTCCCTCTCCCGACGCCACGCTGGGACCGGACTCTCCCTGACACCTCGGCGAAAACCTGTCGCTCCCGGACTTACGACGGCGAGGTCACCTCTCTCCGACACCTCATTGGCAGTCGGTCTGTTGTGGGGAGGTGCGCTGCTCCGGGTCACATCATCACCGCGGCTCGACCGCCGCTGGCGGCCATCCATCTCCGTCAGACCGTAGACGGTCGACGACAGACTCCAGTGCGAGGGGCCCGCCCACCAGCGTACTTCCGGGGACATTCTGGCTGTGCTGCGGTCGGCACGCGAGAGCTCATTCAGTCATCTTCTCGCTGAACTCGCACTCCGACTAAACTTTTGACCTGAGATTTTAGGTAGCGGAACTGCTCTCGACACCGCGGCCTTTTGAGGGGGAGGGGGAGGGGGAGCAGCCGGTATCAAGGCGAGATGGCGGGCGGGACAATCTGACTGTAGCGAGCGTATTCAATTTCCAACTACCACATATTCTTTGTTTTATTATCAAAATATGATGCGGACCTCTCGGTGTGCTATTAGCCGGCGCTGGACAGCTTCGATAACGTCGGATATTAACTCGAATCGCACGTCACTGGGAAGTTTTACTACCGATCGTGATCGAAAGCCTCTCGTAGATTGGCTGCTCGGAGGAATTTGTGACAAGATTGTGACTGCGCACCTAAAACATAGCCATCGGTTGTTCAAATACATTTAATACGACCGTGGCTTTGATCGAGTTTTTTATGCTCGCGATATGAGGTTTGCCACGAGTTCGTCGGAGGCAAGAATGTATTCTGTTATGAGAACGATCTGCCGTGGCATTCATAACGAAGTTCGAGTACATTTATCGTCTCCCTCGAGACAACTGTTAAAGGACTATGCATACAATGAGCGCACCTAATGAACATCCGTCTTTTCGATGCCCTGAGCACTCGCCTGTTGATTAAGCCTTGACTGCATATCATATCAGTGGCTAACGACACTGAGCTTCCTTGTAATCAAACGTTACGGGCCACCTTGTTTGCAACTTGTTTTATTCATCAAAGGCTGAAATTACCGACTGGAGCTGGCTGCCACCGACCTGTCGATTGCCAGGGTGCCGTGCCAATGGGCCACATTTCACTTTCGCACTGAACTGCGCCGTCATTAATTACGAGCTGGGCGCACGTCAGCGCGCGGGCAGGGCACGAGCCGGCGGGGCCGCGCGTCGCCACACGACCCTGCCCGCCGCTCACCTGCGCCAGCCCGCGCGGCGCGCGCCGCTAATGGATTGCTCCACCGGGGCTCTGGCTTTCAAGACGCTGGCGACGGCCGGAGGCGCGCCGGCCCACTGCAGATGCCGATCACACGAGTCATTCACCAATTACGGCCGTGTAATTTGGGGCGGGCCGGGGCACGCGCGGCCGGTGTCTGCACTCCGGCGCGGCGCGGCAAGCGCGGCCGCGATGCGGCGGCGGGCGCCGCGCGCGCCGCGGCGGATTTCTCCGTCGTGTCGAGCCGCCAGACTGCAGAGCGGGCGGGTGATGGGGGTCGCCGCGGCGCGCCTGGCAAGGCTCGCGCAGTAAAATGTCACTTTCGGCGGCCCGCTGGTGCAGTCGATGGGGCGGGATGTGCCTGCTGGCCCCGCTGGCGCCTGGCCACGGCTCTTGACAGCACCGTTTGGCGTCGGCGAGGGCGACAGCATTGCTCGGACGCCACGTGACGTTTTGGCATCTCAGGGACGGCCCAGAAATCTGGTGCAGTCAACCTTCTAAGCTAGTCTAATTGCTCGGTGTCACTCTGCTCACCTGTCGTACCCTTCGGCTTTCTTAATCCATTTCCATTTTGCAAGCATTTGGAACATTATTGCTGTTCATACATGCTCTGCGTTCGTCATTGTCGCTCAGACCTTAGAGCTGTCATTGAATAATCCATGGCGTCGCAGCGCCTATGAATGTAATTTAAAACTTTCCATGATCGCAACCTCGATCTTAAACTATAATTAAACATCCGGTCAAGCTTCAATGTGTCTGAAGAGTTTTGCGTAGCATTTTTCACCAGTGCGCGCATCCATGGCGCATTGTATTGCTGTGGCTGTGCTGTGCGAGTGTCCCATGCCGTTTAGTCTACGTCTTCGCCATGCGTCGTCTACTCTTGTCTTGACCAGGCGTTCACGGCCGTCCGTTTTCAGCGCCGGCCCGAGCGATGAACCTGACGCAGGACAAGCCGTCCCCCAGCTCGGTCAACATCACCTGTGTGGTGGAGGGCGTGTTCCCTGCGCCGCTGCTCGAGGTCTTCGCCAAGCGGGAGGACAAGGAAGACGGGTGAGGACCAGTCTGCGGACGGTGTAGGAAACGGAGACTTTCCAGATGCACTCTGCTTATGAGGGAGCCACATAGTGCGCTTGGAATCAGTGAAAATGCTGTGTTTTAACTGTTTTGACCCAATAGTGTACGTTGTTGACACTTGGTGTGTGTGATAAGTTGTTTTTCAGTGGCGCCCCGGAGCATGAAATCTCACTGTTCTGGGCATGAATGCATGAGTTACCCTTATCTTATTAAACAAACGTATTCGGGGCAAACCCGTCTGCAAAAGCCAGGATTTGTCAACTGTGTATCCTCCTATTGAGCCAGAGACAATGTTGTGCTATGGTCAGTTCCTGTTGGGAAACTGCTGTTTTCCTGACAACTAAATCAAATAAGTTGTGTCATTTCCAGAAGTGTTTACGATGCCGCGCGCTGCAAGAGTTGTGGCAACTTTGGTCGTAAACTCAAATTTACAACTAAGCTACTTCGTTGCACGGATGAAGAATACAGAAGGGACATAATTCAGACAGAGGACAAAAGTTCGTATCATCCTAGATGCAATAATCCGAGTGTTTTTATTCGCAGCTTGCCTAACTACCTGGGATCGTTCTCTCCTCCCGAGAAATGCTTTTGCTGTACCAGTACGACGGCAAGACTTGTTTCCTACCCATTCATTACTTCCAGCTCGTTATGGGCGGCCATTAAGCTTCATATATTCTGAAAATTGGTCATTTGGTTTTGAAAGCAACACTAGGTTTTCCTCTGTAGCAGAATTCACTTTCTAAACCAAACGTCCACATGACTACATATACTTAAGATAAGCTGCGAACGATTCAGCATGCGTTTGGTTTTAAGAGCATATCATGAAACTTGCAGAACACTAAAGTAAGAGGTTATTTTGAGCTTGCAAGAGCTTACAATGTCAAATAGCATCCAAGTTAAAGTCAGAAGTCTTCGAGGATCAAAGACAATTCGCACATCCACATAGTGTTTCTTTGGGTGTTCTTCATGAGAAATTCAACCTTTCCGTGTATACAGGGTGGCCCAGAAGAAAGTCAGCTCACGCCCCGCTTAACAGCGACAAGTGTGTTTCTCGCATAATCGAGACTGTAGTGTCGCTTGAATGCCCATTCAATGGGAAAACATTATTCAAGATGATGCTAGTCATCAGTGATCAAACATCCGTCAAAGCATTACCGTACAGAAGGTGGTTCTGTGAAGACAAACATGTGAATCCTGTTAACATCCCCACGGAGCGCTACATCGCATCTCTGATTGATACCTTTCTGGGTCGCCCTGGGGTGGCTTCGCGGGATCGATCTTGGCGAGCAGTGCCTCCAGCAGGACAAGGCGACACCGTGCACGGCACGGACTTCACTGGACCCGTTGGAGCAGCATTTCCTTGGAAGGCACATCAGCCTGAGGATGAGCGTGCCGCAACCTTTCATTCACCCGACCTGCAGCCCCTGGACTTCATGCTGTGGGGCTACCTCAAGGACCACGTCCATGGAGACAAGCTAGCGGGCTCAAGGCCGCCTTCAGACTTCAGATGGGGCATATCACCCTCGACAAGATCGTATGGCGGATTCACCTATCGCAGCAGGTTTAGCTGTCGCGCACACGGGACCGTTAAGGGGCCCATCTGTAGCACACAGAACAAAGTCATGATTTGACGGATGTTCAACCGCTTGTGACTATCACTGATCGCGTTCGCCGCTTAATCGCCGATCAGATTTCACCGGAGCCATGGCCGTGCGACAAATATACTTGCCACTGTTGAGAAAAGCTTGAATGGCCTGTGATCTAGGCCGTCCCGTACTATGGATGGCATAGCATCGAGGCGAAAGCTCAACGTCGTCCTCCACAGCTGGAGTCGGTAAAGAAAAACACCGTACACAAACTTGGTAAACACACACACGCTTACTTGATAAGGTGAAGTTCTTGGAACGACTTGGGAACAAATTGGTTTAAGGCGATCAATTAGCTCGGGAAAAGCGGCAAAAAGGGAGCTGCTGGATTGGGTGGCTGAATGTTCTCAGTATTTGAAGTGAATCTTATTGTTTTTACTGATTGAGCAAGGTGGGCTGAAAACCCAAATGAATGATGCACACCCGCCGTTAAAGCAATGGATTCAGTTGCAATAAACAACACTGTTTAAACTATGCAGGGCTGCAGATTGATCAAATCCTTCTTAACCCATGTAAAGCCATTAACCTATCGACTACTTGGCTGGTTCTTTCAGTCCGTATGCCAAGTCGTTAGAACTACGCCATCTGCTCCGTCACTAGAAGCTGCTTAGTTGAAACCTTTAAAATACAGCTCAGCTTCCAAGCAACGTAATTCAATACAAACTACACACTGATCAATCTTCTAAATTTGGCTGCCTGCCTTGAAAGATGCCATCAGCTCCAATGGCCGACCGATCAAGTGGAAAATAAATCGGGCAAGCTAGGGACCGTCACTTACATATTATTGCCGTTCCCGATGGTTGTCGTTTGGAAATAAGCCTGGATGAATGTGCTTCACACGAGAATCGGTTGCTTATGCAGATGTCTGGAAACGCTTTTCTGGGATCCGGAAGCTTCCCGGTGGTGCCGACGGAACTTGGCCATCCCTGACATGCTTACTCTATCCTCGACCTAATTGACCTATTGAATAATTGACTTGAATATCACTATATTGAAATACATGAATAACTGACTTGACCTTGACCTTAGCGGACCTGGCGCTAAGGAACACTCACCCCATGCAAGGAGGTCTCACATTAGCCCACCAAAGACCCAGTGGCCCCCGAGTCCGAAATAGCCACTTCGTAACGGACTCGTCATCTTTAAACCCAGCCCCGATTATCACAGAATCGTGGGTTAGCCGTTCTTCCATCAAATGTCACGAGCTCCTCACCACTTACCCCTCAGGCGACGCCTGCTGAGCAACGTCATCCAGCGGACGGAGGCGACCGATGAGGGCCGTTTCGACGCCGTGGCGTATGCGCTGGTGGAGGACGGCAGCTTGGAGGGCCGCACCACCTTTGAGTGCGTCATGACCATCCCGGAGACGCAATACCGCCTGCAGCGGCACATCTCCTACGCGTCAGGTGGGTGGCGGGCGGTGCTGGTCGGCACGCGGGCTGCGGCGGACGAGAGCGGACATTGGCGGACATCAGAGGACACTGGGGGAAATCAGAAGACACTGGCGGACATCAGTGGACACTGGCGGACACTGGCGGACGAGAGCAGACACTGGCGGACATTGGCGGACACTGGCGGATGAAAGCGGACGCTGTCGGACACTGGTGGACATCAGAAGACACTTGTGGGCATCAGAGGACACTGGCGGACATCAGGGGACGCTGGCGGACACTGGCAGACGAGAGCGAACACTGGCGGACACTGGCGGACGACAACGGACACTGGCAGACACTGGCTGACATCAGAGGACACTGGCGGGTGAGAGTGGACATCAGAGGACACTGGCGGACGAGAACGGACACTGGCGGACGAGAGCGGACACTGCCGAATGCTGGCGAACATCAGAGGACACTGGCGGACACTGGCGGACACTGGCGGACGAGAGCGGACACTGCCGAACACTGGCGAACATCAGATGACTCTGGCGGACACTGGCAGACACTGGCGGACATCAGAGGACATTGGCGGACACTGGCGGTCGTCGGAGGTCATTGGTGGATGGGATGAACATTTGCGGTCATCAGTGGATATTGGCGGTCAGCAAAGAACATATGCGGACACCGGCGGTCATTAAAGGATATTGGCGGACACTGGCGGACATGAGCGGACATGAGCGAACTGGGGAGGACGGGGGCCAGCATTGGCGATCAACAGCGGACGGGGCGGACGTGGAATGGACGCCAGCGGACGTGAACTGGCGTTTGCGGGCACGGGCGAATGCTAGGGGATATCAGCAGGCATGAGCCGACAGTAACCTGCATAACAAGATGTCAGTGTTGATGTTCAACGGATACATTTCCCGAATGGGCCTGCTATGATACACAGTGCCTCGAGTTGCCGTGAGGGCGCGTCCTCCCAGTACTGTAGCAAGCAGATTGAGTTGTGAAGCCATATTAAATATTTGCGAGCTTATTCTCACCTCCCCAAACCCAGCGAAAGCCATCGTCGCCTTCCGTTCAATGCAGTCCGGCAGGTTCAGCCAACGAAAATATCGTGGTACACTATAGAAGAAACCGCAATCTTCGAAATCCTCCGCAGATTCAGCATCTGGAGAGGACGCATAGATAGGCACACAGTTCCTTACAGGCCTGGCCGGCGGAAGTGGCAGAACTTTAAGATGTTGTGACAGCGTTTCGTGACGGGATGTCGTGACGAAGCCGCGTTATTCAGGACCCTGGTGGCCTACGCCTTGCTGCCTCGACTCAGATTTGTGTTATTCAAATGCCTCGACGCATGATGGATAACGCCATAAATAAGCGCAGATAAAGCAGATGTGGAGACAAATGAGCAGGCTGAAATGCAACCCTGACCCTAAAACAACGGCGCTTCCTCGCCATTGAATAGGAATAAAGCGTCAGCTGTAGAACCTTATGTCATAATTGTTCCGAGGTCATTGAAGTTGGGCATCATGCGTGTTTCTTTCGAATAGCATCGTTTACGCGAGGTCGGCGTGAGGAAAGTTGGCTATAAATCAACCTTCGTCGCACGCGACAAATTCTTCGAACCATTTGGCGCCGCGACGATCATCAACAACTGACTCGTGAATCTCTAAACATAAATCAAAGCTGAAACTTCGCAACTCCTTCAAATAACCCTGTAACTCCTTGTTGCCAGATACAGCATAACCCACCCCACGGCCGTACAACCCAACAGGCTTGTGAACGAGAACGCGAACACGGCGACACCAGCCGTGCGACCCATCTCCGGCTCGTACATGTCCGGACCAGCCTCCCCCCCCCCCCTGGACAGGTTACAGACAGTGTAGCGTGCACACCATGTGCCTGAATAGCCCAGCTGGGTCGGCGGCTTTTGGCCGTGACGCCGCGTCGTGGGGGCCGGGGCAGGCGACGGCAACGGGGCAGGGAGGGGAAGAGCGTGCCAGGTGGGCCGGCTGCAGTAATTAGACACCATTACGACCGTGCAGATGCGCCGGCGGCACGCGGTGGCCTGGTAGGCGGGCGGGGGAGGAGGGGGGGGGGGGGGCGCTCGGGATGCCACGCTGAGTGAGAGGATCCGCCGGTATGCCGGGGGGACCGGCACCGGTCCAACGCCGGTGAGCCACCTGCTTAACTCTGGTGAGTGTGCTTTCCTCCAAGAAGTTTCAACAATGAATGCGATTGGCAAGCACTAGAACGAACCAAACGAGCGAGCGAAGAATCCTATGGTAATGCTATTAAAGGCCAAAGGTCAGTGTCATGTTGGTCAAGGCAATGCGAAATCAAGATCTGTTCACCTAATCCGAGATAATTGTTCCGCTCTTTTGGTTTGCATGCCATGGAAAGCCCTTTTACACGTGTCGACTGGGTGAAACAGGAAAAACCAGATCATGGGTCAAGGTAGAGCGCGTATCAAAAAACTCCGTCGGATGGACAACAATGGACTTCGACGAGTATGGTCCTTAATACGTCGTTTCGGTTCAGAGGGATGAGAGCTATTGTTGCATTGGCCTATCCGGCGATTTCAAGAACTATGCAAGTCTGGTTAAGAGGGAGAACAGAGGAAGGAATTCCTTTAAAAACTGCGTGATAGGCGCAGTCGAAGTTTAAATGACCTGCAAAGGTCATATTTGGTGACAAAGTTCAACGCTTCACCCAGCTTAGCCTTGGATGACTTGACTTTTAAAAAGTAGCAGATTAATTAAAATGCACATCACACTGCTTAAGCCAACCAATGGCCCAGAAAACCTCTCAGAGGTGCAGATTAGGGATACGAGAAACTAGCGTTATTTAGTCGCTTGGAAGCCGCTTACCACCGATAAGGCTTCGAGGAAGCTGGAAGAGATAAAAACCGCTAACCATGGAAGTTTTAACCACCTTTTTCAAAGATGAAAATGCTTTAAACCCAAAACTACCAAACGTGGAAGCACAAATTCCGAGCAAGCCTTTACTCATGATGTCATAACTCTGTCCCGGAGGGATTTATGTATCTTCCAGGAGGGTAGCTCGTATGCCGGCTGTCAGAAGATAAATCTCTCAATCCCAACTGGACGGAATTGCCTTTGAGCCCTAAATAAACAAGGAAACAGCTTAACACCATTGTCCAAATGGTTACAGCCCAGAAAAGGATGAACTGATCTAACACTCCATTTTGGTATTCCGATCATGTCAGTCCAATTACTTGTAACGCACTGGAATGTAGTCGACCTTCCTGACACATTTTGGTAGTTAATCCTGAAACTCAGCGGGTTACTTTACGCACACATCCCTGTGTTCTCTCCCTACCCATCCCCAGAATTTCACGAGCTAGCTGCGGTACCGTCGCACTGCACGGAAATGCCGGGCAATGGATTTTCATACATCAGGCATGTTTTGTAATCATTCCGGGCATAGAAGCCTAGATCAGTCGAAGCACACGATGTTTTTTTTTCACTGTTTATTCGTCGTCTCCGCAAATATGGTTTTCAGGCTGCCTCACAGAATTGGCTTTGCGTACAAAATGTTTATTCTCCTGCGCTTTCGAGATTTCGTTGTTATCTGAATGGAGCTTCTCCCAATTCACCCGGGAACGATTTTCGCATCCAGTGGCAGGGTAGTTTGTATGCCGTTTGTCCGAGGATGAATCTCTCGGTTCGCCCCGGACTGAACTGCATTATGCCGTAAACAAACAAGCAAACAATTTAACACCATCGTCAAAACAGAATGAGAATAGATCAGGACAGCGATAGTAGAGATGGCCTCAGCTGCAGCGGAGAGACAGAGGGACAGAGAGATAGAGAAGGACAGAGTGGGAGGCAGTCAGACGAAGAGTTAGATGCAGCCAGATTCTGAAACAGACACAAAATCATGGTTTGACAGCCAAAGAGACAAACCAATGAAATACATTTTCGAAGGAGACCGGAGACAGAGGCAGTGATAGAGGCAGCAAACTGGACGATGGCAGAAACCGAAGCAGCGCTTGTGACCGAGCAGACATAGGCATGGTAGGGCTCTGCATGCCGTTCGGATTTGCGCCCGTGAAGATGCTATTCAATCATTTTCACGCAACGACCATGGATCCAAATTAAAGCTCAGAGATGTTAAATCCTAGCCCCTCTAAATGTATGGAATGTTCTACCCTCGGCTACGGCGATGGCAGCACTGACGAACAGCAAAGGGTATCAGTGAACGGATGTATATATACATATAGATACATATGCGTATATATATATATATATATATATATATATATGCATGCACGTACATATATATTGAGGGAGCCAGACAATACCACTATGGTCTGTTTAAAATGACTGCACCTATAAATGGCGTTGTTATTCTTCACGTGCAGCCCCTGATGTGTACAGCCTGCCTGCCTGCGGACCCATTCGGTCACGTTGTTATTCTTCACCTGCAGCCCCTGATGTGTACAGCCTGCCTGCCTGCGGACCCATTCGGTCACGTACGGTCGGACCGTGTCAGGTCGCGCGCCCCCACAGGAGCCAGGCTCAGGGCTGGCCAGGTGGCGCTGACAGCCTGGGGCCATGACAGGGGCCTCATCCAATCTGGGCTCAGGTGTCCGCCGTCCGAGGGCCTTATTGCCTCCCTGCTCGGAGCGCCCTCCTGATCCGGCGGGGACGCCACCGCGATGGACGCAGCCGGCAGGCGTGCGCCGTTGCGGGGAGCGGCGGGCCGTCTGTGCCCGCGGTGGCGCCCGCGGGGAGGGTGTCTGGAGGGCTGCCAGTGTGTCAGCGATGTTCGAGGCTGTGTTGGGGACGCAGGGTGCATTGCGAATGTGCTCATGTTGGACGACGCACAAAAAGCTTAGCGAATGATGTGACTACGCCAGCGCTTAGCAAATCCCAGCGCCGGCGTTATCACATGACGTAAATGAGTAGTGCTAACCGTGGTGCTGAAACTGCCGTTCTTGGAACAGAATGTCGCATACGGAGGAAGTGGATGGACTTTTTGTAACACAGTTCGTGTTATCAAGACCCCAGTCGCTCTCTGACTGGCTCCGAGCTGGCTGGAGATGAGTCTTTGGATGCCCGCCATGCTGCCGGCTGGATGGCCGGCTTGTTGTGTCCCGCTGCGTCTCTGATGACCCATTTAACACACGCCCGCAGCCAATTAATCCCGGCTGGCGTCACGCCGTCCAAACAGCCTCGGGCCATCAATCGAGGTCGGCTGACGCGCGACCCACAGGCCGAACGGTACTGGTTTCAAGGGTATTGAACAGGTCAGGTACAGGGGCAGGGGGTCTAGCTGGGTGTTTTGACGCGGGTTCACTGCGGCTATGTGCCAGATTAAGGCGGCACTGCCTAGCTAAAGGCGCTGCTCCCGTTATTGTGGTAACATGACGCACACTACCACTTCCCGATGAGCCTGCCACGGAATTGGGATGACGTTATTAACAGATTGACTGGTACTCTGGTGTTTCGCGTGACTATACTCGTGGGGAATATATTGTTTTTGTAGATCTGCCGCATTGATTTGCATCATTTAAGCAAAAGGAGGGCAGTCAGCACGGAGTCCATTCAGACTGAAGGGTCTTGCATGAAGCCTTTAAGGCACATTCATCTGATGACGATAAATCGCCCGATTAATACTCACGCAGCAGCATTAGACAGTCTTCAAACCAGTGTGGAGCATCTCAACGAAATGTTATGGCAGGAGAGCGTGGAAACTTGGCCGGATTATGACCTAGAGCACCCACCCCTGCATTTCTCATGGGTTACCTTTCACAGTGCTGCTTCTGGCTTGCAAGCATCTGCAACATGCATGCCGGGAACTGCTAGATGAGCCTCACTTTGCTTCCCGATGCATTATTCATGCGGACTTCCTCAGAGAGGCTGCTGGAGTAGCCCCGAGTTACAGTGCGGGGCGGCTGTTAGGCTGCCAGTGCCGACGGCTTTTGCAGCAGTGTCGTTATTGAAATGGCTTCCTTACCCCTCACCCCCAGCTGCCGTGCTCTGTTAGCTGTCACCGCAGGGTCAATGGGTAGGAGGTGTTGCACATGAGCGCGCCGTCTCCGATTGACAAATAAAGCACAGCATGGCGCACTGGTGTCACCAGCTGACACAGGTGGCGGACTCGTCTGACAAGCCGCACACATGTAACGCCGACAACCGCTACCGATCTGATCTACCCCTGAGTGAGCAACTAATTCGGCTCACCTCAGCCAAGCGCACGCACAAGCTAACAAACAAAGGCTGGGTTTGACGAACAGAAGGCAAAGAGTCGGATCAACAAGGATTTATCGAGGAAAGAGCCGACGTGACAGCTCAAGTCATACGGCGCAAGCAGCAGAAAACAGGCATTACAGCGGCACATACCCGTCGCGCACAGCCGGAAAAGCTGACTTGGCATTGACACGAAGCATTACTTCCGACAGTACTGGGGCCCGGGCATGCGGCGCATCTTCCCGATGCGAGCAGACCGGCACAGGCCCGATCACAGCGGAGCAGCCGCTAGGGGCGCCGGGCATGTGTAGGCGGCGTGGTATGGTTGAATGGGATCTGACCGATGTAACTTCCAGCACAACAAGCCAAGCATTTAGAGCTGACCTTTAGTGTAGGGAGACTGTCGAGACGGTTCGGTGGCCATTTACGGACTTGGTTTGGTTTTAAAGAGACCGACCCAAAGTGCCAAAGAAGCGACGAAACAAGTCAAGGCCCAGTACAATGCGATGAGGTTAAGCAACACCTGGGGAGGATATGAACAAGTACACTGGATTTCGCTGGGTCAGCTGGCACGGACTGCAGCTCAGCCAGACCCAGTCAGAGGAATGCATCCATTTCCAGTCGCACTCACATGGGAATTGTCAGTTTACGTTCTAACACTCGAATACCGCCGATATTTGACGGCTTCAGTCCCTGGGTATAGGTTGAGACACACGCTTACATTTCGGGGTGAGACTGCGGGGAATCTTCAGGTGTTTATACTTTGATTGATGACTTTGGATTGCTCTGGGTAATCATAGGTGGTCTCATTGCCATCTGTGAGACATTCAGAGCTCGAAAGATACGACAAAATGTTTCGGCTTTGCACCATTCTTTAAATAACACGCAAATGTTTCATTCGCCGCCTTTTATTTGTTTGCTTTTGCATTTATTTTTTGGGGTTTCTCTGCGCTTCTAGATGACTATCTTGTTTCCTTTTTCTATTTCTTGCTTGTTTTGACATGCTTTTAACGCGTTCTTTTTGCTTTGCTTCTCTTGGCATGTTGTTTCCGACTCTTTTTCCCTACTTCCGTTTCTGCTGTCACCAGGTTACCTTGTTTCTACGTCAACCGTTGGCCCAAACGAGCCGACAGCCACGACAACACCACACAACGAGTCACGTGACTCGGCCACTGATCTCGCTTCAGAGACCGGGTCAGACCAGGTCACGGAGGGTAAGAGGAGATTGGCCTAGAGTTAGCGTAGATTAGAGGGTCATTAGCAAGTGTAGTATTAGTGGAAGCCTTGTAGCTTACTCTTCCAGATTATCGATCAGAGAACGTTGAGTTACAAGTATGTTCTTGTCAAAACAATATCTCTGTATGACTCTAAAGTTTTGGTCACATGGCATTGCCAAGGTGGCAGTAGATTTGTATCGCCTACGGGTTCCACGATGGAATGGGCTCTATATGTGGTTTAGTGAATTGTGTTCCCCTTTGATAGGCGCATTCAATGTCAATAATATGGTCCAAATTTACAGTTGTAACAGTGTAAGCTGTGGAAAGGAAACAAGTTTTTTTTACCGCGACCATCATCCTGATTCTCTCCGACAAATCAAAAATTTGTCTAGTATTCTATTCAGAAAGAACGAACTGTGCTAGTGTTGGCAAACGCACAGAGGGGGGGGGGGATAGATCACATCCGCCGTCTCTCTAGTATTCCTGAAGTTTCTAAATATGTCTCTCTTTATGCGCATATGTGTTTCAGTCATTCAATGACAATGCAATCTGTGTCGATTCATATCACTGTCGGCATGTAGTACCACGCATAGGCCGTTCAACACGGTGAATCAGATCGCTCAGAAGCTGTTCGTATGCAGTGTTTGTATTGTGAGGAAGCTGCACGCCGTTCAACCTGCCGGCATACTTTTTGACCTCTGCCTTCTATTTCAGGTGCCACCCTGGCTGCCAGCATCGGTGAGTTGCGTCGTCTCGGTTCCTCGCTTCTAATGCCTCTACAGCTCCCGTCAATAACGACCTGCTCCATCGCCTTGTCGCAATCTATCCGTCTCCGCCGGCTAGCGAAATCCTTTGACACCACATGCCAATACCCCGCTGGAGCCGCTGGAAAAGTGGTCTGCGCCACATCTCCGAGCTCATATCGCAGAGAGGCTCGCGAGTCAGCGAGGGGGGATGGCGAAACTTGGCCGATCACCCTCGTCACGATGCAAAGCCGCGGCGGGCCCGCACAGACCCGCCGTTAGCATACTCCCGAGCGGGTGCGCGCCGACACGTGGGGTCGACCGAGGGCCGGACGGGACCGGACAGGGGTGGGCGGCGCGGCGCGCGGCCCAGAACCAGCGGCGATTCAGGCCGGCGAACACGGCACCATGCAGCGATTAACAGCAATTGGGCCGCGCCCGACGGCCCATCCATTTCCATATGGACGCGCGGAGCGCGGCGTCTGTCCGCCGCGGCAGCCAGCTGGGAGCCCTCAGCTTGCGCCGGCCCGGAATGCGGCGGGGCTGGAGCCAGCCGGCCGCTCTCGTAATTACCTGCCGTCGCGGCGGGCCGGCCGCGGCGAGATTGGGCCAAAGAACGACGCCCGCCGTATTTGTTATCCGCTGCCGGGTAATTGATTATTAATGGTCGGCGGCGGTGTCGGCCCGGCGCGACCCCCGGGCTTCGGCGGCGGTTTTATCGGAGGCTGGACGGCGTGAGCGCGACGGTAAGTGCACGTTGTGTGTCCGGGTGGAATGAGTGCGTCGTAAGTATACGGCGTGCGGCTACAATGGGCCGGGCCTTGGAGAATTACGTCCGCATCATGAGGAAAACCTACACGGTCATTAAATTATGGCCGTAATAAATGTGGGCGATCCGGCGGAGGGCGCAATCTCTCGACCCGGACCTGTCGACGGCTGACCGCCGGCGGAGACGAGGAGTGGGAGGCCGCACAAACCAAGCTACTCCCGCACCGCCCACAGACCGGGGCGAATCAATAACGTCTAGTCGGCGACAGCTGATTTCCGGCTGGGCTTCTAAGTCGGCCGAGACGGCCTCAAACGTAATTAATCAACCGTAAAAGCATCCGTTGAACTCTTAGCAGCGCTCCGAGACTTCATACCGTGCAGTCGTGCTCTCTCAAACCGAAGCATGATTGCAAAAAGTTAAAATCTTACCACGACAAAAGATCGTCGTGCTCCGCTCCTCGTGACGGGATCTGTGTTTGGATTTGGAACACAAATCCGGTGCTCCGTTGCCGCAGGACCGTCGTGCTCTGCTCTCGTGATGGGATCTGTGTTTGGACTTGAACACAAATCCGGTGCTCCGTTGCCGCAGGACCGTCGTGCTCTGCTCTTCGTGACGGGATCTGTGTTTGGACTTGAACACAAATCCGGTGTTCCGTTGCCGCAGGGCCGTCGTGCTCTGCTCTTCGTGACGGGATCTGTGTTTAGACTTGAACACAAATCCGGTGCTCCGTTGCCGCAGGACCGCCGTGCACACAGACAGGTCGGCAGCACAAGGCAGCAAGTAACCCATACCTCGGTCACTAGCGCCACCAAACAACGGCCGGGCACGAAACGTCACGTGCTGGACACCTACCACACAACGGAAATTCATCAGCTGCTAGATAGGCAGCGAACATCGGTCACACATATAGCACACGCCAGACAGCAGCCAGGCACACGCCAAACATCGGCGAAGCACACGCCAGCCAGCTGCCAGGCACACGCCAGACACCGGTAAGGCACATATCAGACAGTGGTAAGGCACACACCAGACGCCAGTCAGGCACACACCAGACACCGGCCAGACACACGCCAGACATCGGCCAGACACACGCTAGCCAGCAGCCAAAATCGTCCGGCGGTGACCGCGTGAACGCCGTCGGCAGTCCACACTTCGCCGATCGAACGCCATCACCGCCGTCACTGCGCCACGGCATCGATGCCGGTGCGACCGACGCGGCGCGGGCGACAAATCCGACGCGCGGCCGCGGCCGTAACCGCGCCGGCCGACGGCCAATACAGCCGCCGTCTGATGATATTGCCCCGAATCACGACAGCGAACGGACGAGGGGCGGTACCGGCGCCAGACGGATGGGACTGCCGCGCACGCAGCCCGCCGCCCGCGCCGGACGAGCTCAGCACGAGCTCGGACGAGCCGCGACGACCGACGCTAAACGGAGGTGCTAGTGGGGTTAGAGAGGAGAGGA